AAATTCATAGGTTCCGTATTTTTTGTTATCACAGCTGAAACAGTGAAATACAACAATAAACACGAAATATATTTTAATTTAGAGTATATCTGACAACAACCAATAATGAAAGTAAGAGATTATAATTTGAAATTACACTCAAAAATTACTTTGAATTGTCGCTTAAAAACTTGACATTATAAAACTGACAAATTCAAGATCGTGTATCTCTAAAGGGATAGTACAATGAAAATCGCTATTGTCGAATAATGATGCTCTAATCATTTATAAATAAAATGCAATGCGTAGATTTGTGAAATTGAGATAAAAATTTGTTCACTTTTGGCCAGGATTTCGGCGAAATCCGCCACTGTGCACCGTTTGAGTTGCATCTGGCTCGTGGAATCAGGAACGAGCCTCTTTATGTCTCGTTTCTCAAGCAAATGGGGTTCAAATGGTAACTGCGCAGCTTCTAAGCTTCGTTATATCCGCCCAGCCTCGGCCCCGTCTTGATTATCATGCCTTGTCCGCGTTACCAAGTTTCGCGAGCTGGCGCCTTCGTTTGCTGCGAGTTGAACAAGAACAGGATCCCGTGGCAGCGATCGAACCACCGCGAGGCCGCGGCCGTGTAATCGTTTCCAGGAAAATCGATCCTCGCCAATTAACATGGGCGAGGTTGAAGCCGTGTCATAAACCACCAAAGACCAGCGAATATTCCAGTTCGTGAAATCGCCAAGATACTGCACCGTAGGGACAGTTAACTTGACAATGGAGGGGAAACCCCGACCAGAGATGAGTCGATATATGCTGCGAAATAGAGTTTTTGTGTGTCTCGTTTCGAGTGGGTTTTACCAGGTTACCCACTCTTTATGGGTCAGCTTTAGGTAATAAAGGACAATTGGTTATGGGCAGAATATGAAATGCTGCTGGAAAAACGTAATAGAAAGCTTCCCGAATGGAACTTCAGAATTTAGTTTGTTAATCAAACGAAAATGGTATGATATATATCTGATTTTGTAAATTTTAGATGAAAATATACTTGATTGTGATTAAACGTGGAAAGATGATGTTGTTTAGATGTCCATCAAACAAAACTCTAAAGCCACTTTTGGAAAATCCCTTAATAGTTAAATATATTTAAAATTACGTTAGTATTAACTGTGATTACACTGTCACTCTGATTCGGACATTTTTTAACAATGAAAAACAAGGTCTTGTATGTCCTTTCTCTTTGTTGATGCTGGCAGTGTATTAGACAGTAGAGACAACTGGGATTAGTTGGTACGTTTTTTATCATTATTTTTAATTTTCGTTGTAATTTTTGATAAAATAAAAAAAATGTAAATATACTATTGACACTAGAAGCATCTAATCAGGAAGACTTATTCATTGAATACGAATTTTAATCATCTTCGATATTTCAACGATATTAATCGATTATACTCTTCAACATATTACACTCTATAAATAACTTCATAAGGAAATATTAAAAACTAGCAAAATTTAGTAAATGTAGGAGGAAACAATATTGAAGTAAAACACAAAAGGATAGAAAAAAAAGGATAAAAACATGCGGTACTTAAAAATAAGTATTTGTACGATACTGATGATAGTTTATTGCTCCGTACGAATTAGAAAGCATAAAATTTCCAGTAAAGTACTTTTAAAAATGGCTCTAATAGAGTAATTGAAGAAGATCCCACTTCGAATAACTAATAATTTAGTTAATTTAATGCTTAGAAGAGTTACAATAATTATGGAATCGAAAGGAAATCCCACGAAGGAAGTATTATATACTTATAAATTAATGTAAATTTCTTTTTTTTTAATCATGTTTTAAAAATTAAACAGTTGTGCGAATACTTATTGCTTCAATATTTCTACCAATTAATTGTTTTGTTTTTTTTTTGTTAATTTCTTAACTTACATAAATAGCTATTTTTTTTTTACTCTATCTATTCTAGAAATTTCCGAGAATATATAGAATGTCATTCTTTATCAAAAATAAGTTAATAAATTACAATTTTACATAGTTTTTTTTTAGAAATTGATCAGTGTACGAATACTTTCTACACCTTCTGTATAAATATACTGAAGTATACTTTGGTTCCTCCTCCTATATATTATAAGAGTAAATGTGGAAAAATACACTGTAAATGAACAAATTTTAATTTAATCAAAACAAAATATACCAATGTACCCCACAACAAGGAAAATCCTTTCTACTTTCAGACACTAACTTTCTTCGCATCATACTTGTTAACGGTGCTACAATTATAATTTGACACACTTTCCATTGTTAGAAAACATTTCCAAACCAGAGTCTCAATTAATGCTCGCACAATTCAGAATATCCTCGCCGCACTTTCTACGAACCCACTCGAAACAAGATATACAAAAAGTCCATTTTGCACAGTGTATCAACTTGCCGCTTGTTAGATTTTCCCCCATTGTCGAGCCGCTTGTTCGCGTATGGGTTCATGCTTACTGAATCTGGGTTAGGTTGACTTTTACTTTATTATCGCGGAACTTTGCTTTTACATGTTTTCAAAGAAAAATCTTTTCTGAAAATATTATTTAATTTCCCAGCGAATACTATCGGAGGTCTTTGTCTCTTTAAAACGGGACTTCTTCACGGGAGTTCATATCGAATTTGCACAGATATAAAAAGGCTTTCTAGGCGGGTTCCCGAAACGATTTATGACTGTATCGTCTTGGCTCCCCGCTGCGTTTACGAGAATCACTATATTCGTTCCATCAAGAATACATATGTAGTATGCGTCACAGCTCCGCGAGCGCCACTGCGACGACATATATTGGAAACCAGTGAAATCTTCTAAATTTATCAAGGTCCGTTTCAGGTCATGCATCGCGAACCCTCGACCGGATGGACACGTTGCTGTAACCGATTAAAAACGTTCTCGAAATCTGCTAAATTAAACTCTAAACCTGGATACATACCAGGCTCTATCGATCATAGATCTGGAGGCATAGCAGCCACCACTAAAAAGGTGCCCAATTTTCTCTAAACACTTTTCTTTCTATTCGTTGACATATTCACTAAGTTTAGAGTGTAATTTTTTCAAATTACATTACTCATAGCACCCATAATTGAAAGGGTGCCTAATGTTTGCTTAATACTCTTCTTTCTATTCTTTGATATTTGCACTTGCCTTTCTATACTTTTTTTTAGGATATTTTCCTTATTTTCTACAAAATCAACATTCAATCCTAACTTAACCACATCTAATGTTTTTCTACATTCATGGACTTCCCCGTTAGTTAGAATTGAAATTAACAGAATCCTACAGATCAATATTCCAAATGTATCTGACTTGTGTAGTACTATAAGGAGAACATAATGACATATAGTCATTTGTCTCATGATGGCTGATTATAAATTCAACTCAATATTAAGACAAAAGATGCCTTAAAGTCTAATAAATATTTTATTATGTAGAGACAACCTTAGTGATGAATGTAAAAATGTACTGTCAATTACGTGAACAGTATCTAATAATGAGTATAAAGAAATTGGATAGTTGGTCCAATTATTAAAAGAAGTAAAAATGTTCTGTCAGTACCATGAAAGATAACACATATTTAAAGGTTCTTAAAATATTTCTACCAAAGTGTATCAAACAAATTTCAACGCTATTTTCTAAATATAATGACATAATGTCTCAAAAACCGCATTTCAAATCGAGTTTAAATTTTATGTACATATAAAATACGCCTCTGACTATGCCGTGATATTTTGTATATCTTACAAATTACTACTTTGTGTTATACGTGATTTACGTGATTCCACTTTGTCAATTTTCCGGCTATATTTTATTATCTAAGTCACGCTATAACCAAACTCGAAATGAATAGAACTAAATTAGTTTAAATTAATTTTCATTAATTAGAACCACCAAAGCGGACTCAATTGCGTTAACATTTTAGAATCTTTCAGCTTGACGTGACGTGGAATTTTATTCATAACTTCGAAGCAAATCGACCAGAACACTTAAAAATTTAACAAAATTTTGTACATAGATATATAAATAAACGTACAAAAATTTCAAAAGTGTAAGTCAAATACTTCATCTTCAAAAAAGTCATTAAAACTGTCTTAAAACTGATTCAAAAAAAGGAGCACTCCCTTAACCGAATGGAATTCTGCCTATCTCTGTGCAAAACCGTGCGGAGTGGCAAAAGGGTTGAAGTGTGCATACAGCGTTCGCCACCCAACGAAACAGCCGGAACAGGGCTCAGATTCGCCAGCCCCGTCAGCGTATAGATCCGCTCGAGGTTCGAAATCGCGCGATCGTCGACGAAACCGAGTCGCACTGGTGGTATCAAGCGAGGTTCGTCGATGGTATTCGCTCGACCCAGGAACGCGGGGGCCGTGTTCGTTCCTAGGCCGATCTTGTCGAGCGCCGCGAGTGCCGTCGTCTTGTATTATCGATTGACGGAGGTTATGTGGAGTCGAGTTGCCGGGGCACGACGATCGCGTAGAATGGAAACGAGAAATCCTATATTCCGATCGGATTCGTCGCGTCTACAGAAAAGAACCCTCCCCCGGATCAAACGGTAGCGCGCACTGGGTTGACCAGAATGCATGTACATCGTCGAGTAATATCGTCAACGACCTATACCGTCTCTGACCCAATACCGCGCGTCACGGAATGCCTTTTTTCTTCTGCAGAATGCACGCAACACCAAAGAACGAAGATGATTCTTTCGCGAGGGTTCGCACGTCTTCCTGTCCTTTACGCTTCCTTCGCCATCCCCCTCCCGCCCTCTTTGGTACGTATAGCATTTAGCGCCGTCTCCGTCGCTCTCTCACCCTTTCTTTCTCGATCTCTCTTCCATCCGCATACCGTTTCTACTATGTCCCTCTTTCTCGCGCTATTCTTCAGCGAAAGCATTTCGCACCCCCCTTGCGACAAAGACGAGCGCGGAGGAATAGATCGGGGCCGAACTCAATGGGGTTGGGCCGTCCAACGTTATTAAAATGTAGAAAACTCACTCACCCCTTGGAAGGCGGGTTAGACCGTACGGCGTGTCGAGCTGGAAGCCTGATTGACAGCGAGAAGAGTGGTCATGCCCGTGGCATCGAAAACGGCAGTATCAGGTGTGGCGGGACTGGCTGTGGCAGTCGCGGCAGCGTTGACGGTGGTGGTGGCGGTGGTGACGGCAGCGATAGTAACGGCAGCGGTGGCGGTGGCGGTGACGATGACGACGGTGACGGCGACGGCAGCGGCTACGACGACGTCGTGGACGTTGTACGCGGACGCGGCACTGACAGCAATAATAGCGTTAGCAACCAAGTCACTTTTCTCCTCGGTACGATCCGGGGACACCATCTCCTTGCTCGTCCGATCGCGTGCACAACCGACGACGATGCCGACGCCCGCACTGGCCACGACGCACTGTGGTCGCGCTACCACGAGTACCATCGTCGTTGTCTCATCGTCGTCGCCGTGTCTGCGCTGACACACCGTTAAGGGAGAATCAACCGAGATGAACCAAAACGGGGACGTGTTCCGTTCCAATCCAAGTCCGGCTCGGTCCGGGACTAACAGTGGACTCGAAGAAGGCGGTGGTCGTCCCCCGATCGACTGCACGACACCGATGCTCGATGGCAGGAGACGCCCCAACGCGGGGCACCTAGTTCGACGTATGCCGAGCAACGGCTCACCCTGCGATCCGTCTGTGCTCGGCCCGACTCGCGCAGTACCGTAACCACCACGGGTGCTTCCCTACCCAGGCTCCCCTCAGCCACCCCTACTCCGTTTCGACAACCCCTACCTCGATCCCTTAGGCACCTAACACAACAGCATTCGCGATATCGTCCTTGCTCTTCGCTGAAGCTGTTATTCCAGTGTTCCATCGTCATTTCTGACGTCAGTCTCACGTCTGAGTCAGAATCTCAAAGTCACAGTCACAGTCAGAGTCTAAGAGTCAGAGTTAGAGTCAGAGTCAGATTCTCAGGGTCAGAGTCATAAAGTAACCGACATGAGTTTTATTTATACGGGAGCAAAGTCATATAACTTGATTGTTACACCTTATGTTCCAGTCTTGCACTTGTTCGTATTTCACATTCATTCAATTCTTGCTTAAAATTACTTTTCATTTGCTTATATACCCGTACTGTAGCTGCAATCAAACATACCTACAGCCCCTGAGGGATGAAATATAGTATGATTAATTTGGAAGCGATTTAACACTTGAACCGAGGGTTAGTAGCGATTTTTATCTCTAGGAAAAGTCGATCAACTCCTGATTTCAAAATTATATTTTTATTTTATCACACAAGTGGAGTTGTACAAAAATAATGGCACATCGTTAATACAAGTTCAATTTAATTTAGTTTATCTGACTCTTTCTCGCATTATGTTCCTGTACTTTATCTATTCGTTTCTTTTCTTAAAATTATAACTCATATTTATAACTTTCGTTTGCATTTATAGCTCTTTTTTTTATAAAATTCTAAAAATGATTACAAACCTCGAAAGAAGAAAACGTTCAACGTTTGTTAAAATCTCCCAAAACGATGTATTACAATTTTATCGTGTAATTGAGATTTCAATTTTGATTAAATAAATAAAGCATCAAAAATTGATTATCTTTTCAAAATTCTGTAGATTCTGTAGATGAAGTACACTCGTTGGTAGCATGTAATCCCAAATAAAATCAAAATGTAATCTGGTATAAGCATTTAACTCTGCTTTATTAAACGTTTCGATCTCACTGTCCGAATCCTTTTCGGTAAATAGTGATATTAAACAAAATATGAACCTACAATAATTGAGAAAATGTTATAATATATTGTCTTAGCGTAAATATCGAACACCAAAGACGGTACAAACGAATAAAACAAAATGTTAGTTAATTGGCAGATTATAGTAAACTTTGCTTACTATATGAAAATATTCAAACGACATCAAAACATATTTAAATCAAATTTGTACTCAAAAGGATCCAAAGAATGAGATCAAAACGTTTAATAAACAGAATTAAATAAATGCTTCTAACAAGACTATTTTGATTTTAACTTGTCTAACTTCTATCCATTGTACAACACTTTACATACAGTGGGTGTAGAATGTATTCGTACACCGATCAATTTCCCAAAAAACTTTTTTATGAAATTGTAGTTTCTTAACTTCTTTTTTTATAATCAATGATATTTTACATATTCTCGGAAATCTCTAAGATAGATATAGTCCAAACAATGCTAACTAGTTAATATAATTTGTGAAATTAACAAAAAAGGTGCGAAAATAGGGTAAAAGTATAGAAGCAATAAGTATTTGTACGATACTGATGACGAACCATTTACAATAGAGTTTGTAAAGTAAACATATTAGTTTATTGCTCCGTACGAATTAGAAAACATAAAATTTCCAGTAAAGTACTTTTAAAAATGGCTCTAATAGAGTAATTGAAGAAGATCCCACTTCGAATAACTAATAATTTAGTTAATTTAATGCTTAGAAGAGTTACAATAATTATGGAATCGAAAGGAAATCCCACGAAGGAAGTATTATATACTTATAAATTAATGTAAATTTCTTTTTTTTTAATCATGTTTTAAAAATTAAACAGTTGTGCGAATATTTATTGCTTCAATATTTCTACCAATTAATTGTTTTGTTTTTTTTTGTTAATTTCATAACTTACATAAATAGCTATTTTTTTTTTACTCTATCTATTCTACAGTTTAGTAAACTTAAAAGTTAAACCTAAAAGTTTCTTTCGCTTTATTAATAAGTAATACATGCACAATATTTTATGTTTTATGTTACATTACTGAATTGTGCACGATTCATTTTGCTCCATTATTGTTACACCATGAATATCTATGAAATTAGATTGTCTATTTATATAAATACGTCCGCATAAAATAATTGAGTGTAACTCGCGAAAGAAACTTTCGGGACAACCTAATAGAATGTCATCGTTTATAAAAAATAAGTTAATAAATTACAATTTTACATAGTTTTTTTGGAAATTGATCGATGTACGAATACTTTCTACACCCGCTGTAGATGAGAATTTCGCAAATCTTTGATTCAGGATTCCCATTCTTCGAAGACACCGCCGAAACCCCTTGTAGCGAAACGCCAACGCGCTAGTGTGCCGCAACCCTTACTTTGCTCTACCCCTCGATCATCGCACCGCCGAGCCTCGGGACGGCCACTTAACCGCGAAATTTCGAAGAAACCCCTGTCGAAGGTTTCTTCTACCCAACAAACGACTTCGTCTCCCCCTATCCAACCCCCCAATCGAATCTAAGCACTCCCTTACACTCTTCCACCGATCTAGCTTGAATCTTCCAAACGACTCATCCGAACGATCGCTCAAAGATTCCGAACGGATATAGGTTGATCGATGCTTCGCGCCCGTATCTATGCGCAGTGTTTTCGAATTTAGTATGCACGCCTGGAAAATTTCAATTGGCGAATCGAAGGGACCTGTGCTCGACGAGCGGGTAGGTGGTGAAACGGTTTAATGAGTTGCGTGTTTAGGAAGTCAGGGTTGCGAGTCGAAACGCGTCGGATAGGTGGGCCTCGGTAACGGGGGCAAACGTATGGAATTGTTTTAGTTGCGGGCACCAGGAGCCCTTTGGGGTGACCTGAAGCCGTCGGGCACTCGGCGGCAAAGCGGGGGGTTAAGGAAGCCCTTGAAATCAATAGCCAGTCGCTACTGCCGCCGCCACCCTGATCAGGCTGCTCTGCGCTGTATCCGCCGCTCCACTCTCAGCCATCCCAACCCTTCCTCTTCCCCGATCCTGATTTATCCGCACCACCACTACCTGACCAACTTCTATCCGACTTTAGTTCGCAGTCGAACGTCTCGGTACGAGTATCGTTCGACGAGCTTCGTCGAACCCAGTCACGTGTCTGTGAAAGAACTGAATTTTATCTGGGAATGAAAACATCCGTTCACGGCCACCCCCTAATGCGGTCGATTTATCGCAACGTTCTCCGCCTAAACGTTTCGCGATCCTCTATGTACTAATGAATGAAAAGTATTTTGTCCGAGAACCATGTCGAGTAAATGGCGAACGTAGGAGTGAGAAGAAACTTCGTTATTTAGAAGACAATGTTTATCGGCAAAGACACTTGCCGAGCGCAAGCGGTAATAGAGAGGGAGCGATAGAAATATTTCGGTTTCCTTGGGGTAAATATGTAGGAAGAAATTTTTCCTGAGAATTATGGTCGAGGAAATGTCGCAATATGAAAGTGAGAGGAAATTTAGTTTGAGAGAATATTTTTTTAACAAAATTGCTTGGAAGGTGCGGGAAGTAGTAGGGACAAATGAAATGATACTCGATATTGTTATGAAATAAAAAAATATATACGCATTACATTAAGGTTTGTCTATCACAAAATAGAACAGGAAATTGACTTGTACGATAATACATTGTGTGAATTCATCATGTATGAGCACTATTTCTTAAATGAAATTAGAATTGATGCTTGTACGATTCGAAAACTTAAATTAAAGAATCAGGTAGTAGGTACAAAAATTATTATTTTGTGCTTCATTATTTCTTATTAAATTAAAAAGGGAGGTAATCAATACAAGCATTATTATTCGTATAAATTAATATTATTCTAAATAATAATACTTCAATTCAAATTCAATGAAGCCACACAATGTATAATCGTACATGTAATGAATACTGATAATTTACAAATGAATCAATTAATTATCATCGATTAATATGTTTATAGTCTTTTACTTCATAACTACTTTAACTATCATTTTGTTATCCCTATTACTCCCTGTACTATTCAAACAATTTTGTTAATAAATACTTTCTCAAATTAATTTCTCCTCACTTCCATATACCATTTCCACGACATACTTTGTAGAAAAATACTTGTTCTATTTTCCGGCGAGGAATCGAAATATTTAACATTCAAATTTAAACATCGTACGAACATTTGAACAAGGAACATATAACAAATTTAAATAATCATTCGCTGATTCTTTTTATTCTTAAATAAATTAAAATTCTTATTGAATTAAGCTTCGGTGTTTATTGAAACTCGATGTTTTTTTCAATTCATGCGGAACAAAATTTATGAGTAAAAAATAAACAATTGTCGTCAATAATTACGGCCATTTTGTTCGCCAAGTATAATTAATTTAATGGTTGAACGGGACATGAGTAACTACACATATTTTTCTTTTGGGTAGTCAAGTAATCCCTACGATTATTATTCAATTATAAATATCCATACTTCCCCGGATACGATGTATCAGGGTGCGCAACTCTTGCTATTTAGAATCGTATGATAGATTACCCTTGTTGGGCGTCTTATAGATGCACTGGATGGTTTCAAGGAAGAAAATATTATTAGCCTCTACGTGACGCATGAAGGGAATGATGAAGAATAGAAATACGAATGTTAGATATTTTCACTCGCGCGAGTCCTTTATCTAAAAATTGATATCAATTACTTCTTATGAATATCAAGAATATTTATTTATATCACTAAATTATGGCCTACAAACAAAAATTATTCGAGGTACTGATTAAAATGTCGTCTTCTTTGTAAAAATACATTCGACATATTTATAACCTGTACAAGCTATGCGTAACATTCTCGGGTGAAATCTTCAATATATAATTATCTTTAATAATAATAACGATTTTAAAACTAATATAATGTTAATATACTTATGTAATTAGCCACACGTAAGCTTTGTTTTCCACCTACGTAATATATATTTAATATTAATTTTTAGTGATCATAAATATTATAATTTCTCTAACTCCTATCATTTACCAATCTTCGTTATTATAAGAAATTACATACTGAAGAGGAAACGTATATGTATAGCTTGTAATGATTATAAATATATAATATTTAATTTACTCGAAATTTTGAAATAAAAAAATATATACGCATTACATTAAGGTTTGTCTGTCACAAAATAGAACAGGAAATTGACTTGTACGATAATACATTGTGTGAATTCATGAATTGTGTGAATTTGAGTTTTGCTAAAGTATTATTGTATGAGGAATACATGTTTGAGACAAATCGCATAGATAAATGATTATGGATACAACAATTGGTACTCTTCTTCGTTCCACGGGATATCCCTGTCTGACCCACTTTACAGCCACGCAGAGAGAAAGTGCGCGAGTGCATATGCACCGGAGAAGGTAGTCTGATTATAAGTTGACCTACACTACTTTGATTCGCGTATTCATTTTTCAGGAATGAAAAGTTGAAAATTCATCGGTAAATTTATCTCGCAACATCCAATCGATTGGTGGCTATATTTACGTCGGTCTAATATTATGCGATGGCGAGTAACCTTCGTAGTAATTGATTGATGATATTTAAAGTACAGGTATCACTCCGTGTTAACGTTGTTCCGCAATTTTTATTTCACGTATGTAGTAAGAAAGTTGAATACTACATGTATATACATGCACATATATATGCATATACATATACAATATATATACATATACATATTTAGAACAATTATTTTGTAATGCATTTGCTAATACGTATTCATTATAGTATTCATATAACTGCGACCCCTCTACAACTTTTGTATATTTAATCATACTTCTTTGTTTGTTCCTGTTTTTTATTTACATAATGGCAATCTCTTCATTCCGTTTTGTGAACTGCGTGAACGATATTTAATCCTAAATAATTACATTTCTCTTCGGAGCATTTGTAATGTATAATAACGTAGAGACACTTCCCAATGATGAAAGAATTCGAATGGTAAGGGAATATAATTGCGTGAAAAAATCTCGCTAGAATCTATTGGTGGACGAAATAATTTCGTTTTAATGCTTGCTTTATTGGCGAACTTTTAATAGGAACCTAGGAAGTTTCTTTGCTTGAGAAGTTCTATATTTATCTACCGAAGAATTCTCAAACCATTTCCCTAACGTGCCTCTCGTAATCACACGAAAAGAAGCAATTTATACTTGCACCTTAGACATACATAGCACAGTTATTCGTTCAGTTTATTTATTTTACAAACACGCGATATGGAGAGATTCCAATCGGATACACTTTATAATTAGTAAAGATATGTAAAACGATGAAATGCTTTAATAACTTTAATCGCGGGAAAAAAATGGATGCGTTATGCGACGTTCGTATCACGCAACATTGTACGAGGATCATCATTCTACTAGATACTGATAACTTATTGGACATTCACTTTGAAATACGATTGTAAAATACAACATTTAAAGAGAACTCGATACACCTCGATCAGAACCTCGAAGAATGATGAAACATATCTAACGATATAAAATCGATATTCAATACGTGTATTCAAATATATAAATAACTTCGGAATGATAAACAGTACAATTTGTAAACGAGAAATGTTTACACATTTTTTTACATTTGACGTTTTAATGATAGCTCACATTTGTGTATACTACGGTAACTTAATTTTCCTTTTTTTATTATCGGAAGGAGCCAGAGAAGGCATACAGGGTGAGGACATATTAGAACAATGAAACGTCAGTGAAGCACGAGTAAGTTATATTGCTGCCTCTATTTCTAAGGCACAGATATATGAATGTTTATGTATGCATAATAACTATGATGTGACAATCTACAAACTGCTTGCCCCTATGCATACACATTGATCAAATTTGAACGGTCTCGTAATCGATGAATTTTCAAGCGGTATCCATATATACCATGCACCACTTCGGTTAGTTAAACGTGATTAGTGTCAGAAAGGTACAAAATATAAGACTTCCGCTGTGTGACATCTGAGATATCTTTATTTTAAATTTTTATAAGACAAACATAAAGAAATAAAAATTACACTGAAGCGTCAAAAAATTTAATGCATTAAATTCCTTATATCATGTTCCTTATATCATAATCATATATCATAAATCATTGCTGATGGATAGAGCCAGCGTATCCAATTTCTGAGTCACGAACCACTACTAATCAGCCAGACCCCCCCCCCTCCCCCTCTTAACTATACGTTAGATATTAATACATTATCTTAAATTGGATACATTATGTACAATCTTATATTGTTGTGATTGTTAATTACGTTTTAGAATGTCAAATCAAAAATTCATCTTTGTTTTTTGTTCTTTTTTTATGAAAAGATTCGTAAGAGTTATATTTTAATTAATTTCGTAATTCCGTACATAATTTACTTAGTGGCAACATGGTTTCAAAGACACAGCCGCAAGCAAGTTTGTAAAGCGAAAATCCTTTTATAAGAAATAGGAAAACAGAAAAATGTAAACTGAATGATTAACGATTCATTATAATGCACGATTTGTTATTTAAATGAGTAAAGTCACGCAATGAATAACGATAACAAGATTCATCGTAAATTTCTGCACCCATACTGCAGCGTGAGTGATTTATTTCTTAAAAAAGGATTTAATGTTCTGTCGCTTTACTAAAGTATAAGCACACTCTTGCAGCGAATATTCTATTATTTTAAACCACTACCTGTTCACGTTTATAGTATTTATCATGAACAACCGCGTAATACGATGACTGATTTTGACCTTTGCGATCAGTAAGTGGTATATGGTATAAGCCGGGTGTAGAAAGTTTACTTCTCAAGATATATGTCTGTCCAACTCGCGCATGAGGAGATTGCTCCTCAAGAAATTGGAAAGATAAGATATTTGTGGCTTTCACGGCCCGGTTCCTCAGGATTAATACTAACCGAGACTTCCGGGTATAAGCCGTATTCCTGAAATAAAATACTCCTGACATTTCAGCAGTATTGCAGCTACTTGTAGCACTAATATACTCCTGAAGAAGCTGCCTAGAATGTTGACAAAGCATCAAGGTATCTTATCCACAGGACACAGCTTACACCCGGAAGTTTTAATTGGTTTGTACCATACAGAAGACTAGAGTCAAACTAGAGTTGATATGAATTGGAAAGATGTATATCTTCAGAAGAAAACTTTCCGCACGCGACTAATAGCAGGGGGAGCAGGCTAAGAAACACAGGGGAAGAGAGGATGTGCCAAGTTATGCGGTAGAGTAATGGCTGCTCAGAACATTTTTCCCAATAAGTATCCCACTATGACCATGGCAATGGCGACGGCAACGAGGACGTTGGTAGAGTTTGGGACTAATTGGCTAATGTTTTGCGAGGTCAAACCTCTAGCTGCAGCTAAGGTAGCATCATTACCCAATGCCGCGTTTTTTAATTTCAATAAGTCCTCCTATAAATACAAAGTATTTCTCTATGTATTTATTACTATATATTCTCGTTAAATATATTTTTTTATTTTATATATTATAATCATCTAATCTATAAATTCCTTAATTTGTTACCTTTAATTGAAGGTTTTCCTGCCTAAGAGTGCTCTCTTCTACCCTAAGCTGATTGACTTCTTGTGCTGCTTTTAATAATTTCTCTTCCACTTCTCCAAGAACCTAATTAAGTAGCAATATTATAACATTAGTTATATAATCGATCAATCATTAAAAATAAACAGCACAAATTGCATACTAATTGTTACCTTTGGCGATGACTTTACAGAATCACCAACTCCTTTATTTTTGCCATTATTTGTGTTTACTTCTGATTTAGGTGCAGTAGGTTTAGCTGGCATAGGATAAGTTATAGGATTTTCAAATACACATTTTAATTTAGATTCCATTACCTGCTCCGGATTTAGGTCACTCCACTTTAAAATAAAATTGAAAATCACAATTGGTAAAAGGTTAAGATTAAAAGAAATAACTACAGAAAAGCTGGTAATGAAAAATCTTAATCATGTGACAAGTGCAATTCTCAAGCTTTTACGTACCACACCAACACTATCTTCATCATCGTCATCTGGAACTATTACAGCTTGCACCATAAATTTATGTTTATTTTTTTCTGCTGGGTCAAAATCAAATGGCTGAAGTGACACTAAAAAATAGAATACTTAATGTATCAACAGTTCCTGTCTATAAGAAAGTCTTCACAGATTTGCATTACTAACTTTTACAAATCAACTATAAACTATAAGACTATAGTAGATTTAATGTTTTAAACTAACCAGCTATTTGAGTGGATTTCTTTGGCTTGATGTGTCCACAATTTGGACGTACACAGTACCTCTTTGGAGCAGTTGTTTTGATTTTAAAGTAAACTTTGTCATTCGTTGGATTAGTTAATGATATATAAGATGTGACTGACGTTCCTGTGAACGGGCCTGTAATACAGTATACAATTCATTTATATTAACTTGATTAGTTCTATCTTTCATTTGTTCAATCAAAACAATATATATAATCTAAATGCTTAGCTTATGACATAAACATGATAAATGTCATGATATAATACTCTTATAAATTGAAAATTGAATAACGTAAGATAAAGTGCAATAGAAAAAATAAACCATAAACATAAATACTTGTATACATAAGAAAATATATCTTATAGTTACAAATGAAACTGTTTACTTCCTTTGTAGCCATATACTGTTTAAGGCACTCAAATATGACAAATTACTCAGATTAAATAATATTTAATCCATGCTGAATATGCAGTGGAAACTTTTCTTATATAATCTCTAGTAAATTGTCGTTGCACAAATAGTAAACTATAAAAAACCTCGCAAAAAACAATAAAGAGGTGTTCTCTGACGTTCAAACAAGTACCGACATGCAACATTCATCGTGGACACGATTTAAAAAGTATATATTTCGTAAAAAATTCTCGAGAAGATAAAAACAGAGAAAAGGTAACACGCGTCACAAGCATATTCGTGTACATACGAAAATTAAATGTATACGATACAACTCGTTGAATATGTGTCTGTATATCTTGTAGTGGAACAAGGGAGTAAGAGGGGAGAGAGTGAGAATTCATTCGTGACTGTACTTAGCTTTAGCAGCGAATGACGTACAATGAATGGGATTAGATACGACCATACGATCGAGGAGGCCAACGATGTTCACTAGATCATTGTATATAATCCTATTTAGTGGCAAGTGAGAATTCAAGAAAATTGGCGAACGAAGTAAACCTTACGTCATCTTGACAACGTAGCGCACCGTGTGCAGCTCATGATAACGAACTAACAATGTCCCTGCCCTGTCACGGATCGAGAGAAACTCAAAAGGGAAATAGAGGAATGGAGCGAAAAGATCCGAAGAAAATGCGCACTAAAGGATGATTCGTCGTTTTGAGCGTACCCATGAACCGTAGTTCGCTTTCCGGTTCGATAATTAAAACTTGCTCTGGCTTCACCATTCTGCTTGGCAGTCGACCGAATCCCACGGACGATTAGCCGCAACACCTTTCGAGTGCGTGAATAACGCTACGAGACCACGTCTTGACAGGTTAATTAACGCTCGTTGTGATTTTGTAAAGCGGCACCGCCGTGTCTCTCGCACTCGCTACTTTCCGGGATTCCGTTGGACTAATTCTGATTTTTGTTCTGAATCAAATACGCATGCGTCACGACGGAAATTATCAGGAGTATAGCCGTTACGTCACGGACAGACGTTACCGCGGTAATCATGTTCGCTACTTCTGCACATCCCAAAACTTTGCACGCCAAGGTAAAAGACACGCGATGCAAAAGGTAGAATCGTAAGAGATCTATGCTCTCCGTTTCCTCGCTAAACCACCAGAGGGAACTTGCGAATTTTCTTTCTCGCTAGTTTATAAGCGACTTTAGAACATTTTCCAAAGAAGGAAAAGAGACAAACATATCGGCAAACTTCAGATTTATTCGAAGCCTAGGGTTTTGCCCATCACTGTTGAGAGCCATCGATTTCATTCAGTGATGGGCAAAACCCTAGGCTTCGAATAAATCTGAAGTTTGCCGATATGTTTGTCTCCTTTCCTCTTTTAAAAATTTTCCAAAGAAGGAAACGAGACAAATATATCGGCAAACTTCAGATTCATTCGAAGTCTAGGGTTTTGCCCATCTCTGGGCTCTGGGTCCTGCGCACCCATAAGGAGTTCATAACTGTGTAGTGTAGAAGTGTTATCAAAATCCCGAGCTTGAAGTTATGAATATTTCTACCACTCGCGGTGCAAGTGAGCACAGTCTACGATATATATATGTCATATATGCATGATAGTATATACACATATGACATATATACAGAGTGTCCCAAAAATGTTGTAACACATTGAAAGGGGTGGTTCAGGAGGTGATTTCAAACAACTTTTTCCTTAGCAAAAATGTCCGAGGCTTCGTTAAGGAGATATTAAGCGAAAACCCCGACCAATCAGAGCGCGAGTATACCGGTTGAGCGTAAGCTACACGATAGGCGGCCGCGCTCATACGCTACTGCGGCCGCTCCAACAGTATACGCGCGCTCTGATTGGTCAGTGTTTTCCGTTAATATCTCCTCAACGAAGCCTCGGACAACATTTTCGCTAAGGAAAAAGTTGTTTGAAATCACCTCCCGAACCACCCCGTCCAAGGTGTTACAGTCTTATACAGGCTTATACAGTCTTCATGTATCTCAGACATTAGAGGCCGTTACTAAATCTTTGCAGTCGACGCAGGCGTACATTTCCATAATTTTGTATTTGCTAGTTGGTAAAAAAAAGAGAAACATCGGAAAAATTGTGTAAAGCGCAACAATATTTGCATTGTAATAATATGAAATAGAATATTTTTCTAAATAGTTTCATATATCATATAAACAATTTCCAAACAATGACAAACTGGTTTTCAAATAACAATAGGTTTCCTTCTCATTCGTTTAGTACCGATTTTTGCCGTTCATGACGCTATCCAGCATTCTAGTAGAATTTAGGGAAATACATGTCTATGTTATTCTCTATTTTATGGTCTGTTTCAAATTTGTATTTTTTGACGTGTTTGAGCAAATACTGCTAAAAAAAGATTCAAATATCATGGAGAGTTTGAGAGATCCCAATTTAAATTCCAACGTTTATAGGAATATGACAGCAACTGATAGACCACCTGTTACTGATAAACATTTGCAATTTATTTTGATTTATAATGGTAACATTACATAGGTTAAACCTTTTATACTCTTCATATACTTCAATTTACATGTGGAAACGTTACCGTGTTTATTTATTTACAGAAAGAAGTGCCATTCTTGGAGGTAGTAATATGGCAGATCGGTATTGGAGTGGTACTGTCTGGTATTACAATGATTTTTCAGATTTTGATATAGACAAGGCTTTTGTTGCTACAAAATTAGAAAGTGGTGTTTGCGATGGTGCTTTTTTGGAACATAATAAATTTGTAATTTCTGAAGACACTGGAGGCTTGCAAGTACTCTGTTTAGCAGAAGTCCCTGATACACATTTACAGGAAATACAAAGTTTGGGATATGCTTGTTTACATGATAGCAGTCTTGTAACTCTTTCTGTATTTCATGATAACGAACATTTAGTTACGGGTGACTTGGATTCATGGTAAGTTATTTAAAATGCTTTGTATTAATAAAAACATTTAAACTATCCAATATAGAACTTAATTATCTTGTAGCATAAAGGTATGGAATATAGCAGAATTAATTGCAATGCATTCGTATCATTATGCTCATCAAAATGCAGTTACTTCCATTGATGTACAACCTAGGAGTAATTCAATATTTGTCTCAACATCATTAGATTGTGAAGCCTTAATGTGGGATATAAGACAGGCAAAACCAGCACTAAGTATGTACTAAAGTACAGTAATATAATTATAAACAGGCAATAATATATAGCCTAGTGTTTATATAATTATTAATTATTTACATAATTAAAATATATTTCATTTTCTTTTTAAGGTATTCTAAAAAAAGATGTTGGCTTGACAGCTGTAAATTGGAATTCCATTTTAGACCATATTATAGCAATAGGTTCCGATAATGGGGATATTTCGTTACTTGATGTTAGAAAACCACATGCTCCAGTATTACAGGAAGCATGTATATTTCCCAGATCAATACAAAAACTCTTATTCAATCCAAATCCAGAAAGGTAATATGAATAAATCAATAAAAAATATAAATTAAACAAATATTGATACATAAACAGTGCAAAAACACTATATATACTATTGTATTATACCTTAGATCAGAAGAATTAGCTGGTTGCTGCGATGACACCCTTGTGCAAGTACTTGACATAAAAAACAATTTCTCATCAGTGTATAAAAATGAAGATCACACTGATTTTGTTCGTGGGCTTTCATGGTACAAAGATAAATTATTTTCTTGTTCTTGGGATAGTACAGTGCTTAAACATACAATACATACCTGTAATAGTCATTAATGTTTATTTATAAATTTTTAATTGAAATTATGTCTCATTTGTATACTATTAATTATTTTATGTTAGTTTTGCTCTGTACGACCAATTATTCTGAATACTTTTCCTATTTATATTTCTGTTTATTATTTACGTTATGTAATTATTCTCTATATTAGGAAGATGTATATTATTATTTTTTTTAAGATAATAAAAGATTCAAACATTTAAGAATAAAATATGTTAAGTGAGGTATCAAGTACAAATAGCCATTGCACTATTCAAACTATTTGTTTACTCTTAAATAGTAATTGAGTGATATTAGCTCTTTATGGACGGATAGGGTTTATGTTCCATGATTTTCAGGCTCTTGTGAAATAACACTAATCTATCAATTAGGGATTTTATTAGATGTAATCATTTATACCGTTTGGAATTGAAATAAACAAAACCAAGTGTTGCTAGGGAAACCAATATAACAACACATGTTCTCCGATTTTCCAACCTCTTAACTAGTATCGCGTTGCTCCACGTTTCTTGAAAACAAATTTTAAGTAATACCATTGTATTCCTACTTTAGGAAGTAGATTTGTATCCCTATAAAAAACTTCAAAAAAGTAAAAAAATTACGCCAAGTACATGAAAAAGTGGAGGACTTAAGGGTGCGCAGGAGACAAACTGGCGCCACCAACGGAAAGTAGGTGAACTACTAGATAGTTTTTCCCGTTTTTCAGGCACAATAATGAAAAAAACATATCATAATTATGCATTTCGTAATCAGGGGAAGTAAATCTATCGTCTCGTCAAGCGTTTTTGGAAAAAATTGAAAAAAAAAAATTTCTTGTCTTTGAACGTATTTTTAGCAAGTTTCAAAAGCGAAATTGCAAAATGTGTAACTGTCCCCGCAACGGTATTTTACAAGGAACAGTTTAAAAAAAAAATCAGCCGGGAAGGTCGCTTCCTCGCCTCATAAAATTACAATGGTGTTGTCGTTATGAAATCGAGAAGACTGATGCGCTTGCACAATGGCTTGAGTTTCACGCTCTCCACCACAGTACACCACAGCGCTGGTGTCGCTCTCCTGCTGCTGGTGTGCCGATAATCTAAAAATGCCTTTCAGCATGGTTCAGTACCGTACTAAGAGTACGAAGCGCCCGAGCTTATATATTTTACTTTTGCATATGTATATGTATTCAATATTATATTGTTAAGAAACGTCATGTATATGTTAAGGTTGTTTATACTGCATTGCAATTAATTGATACAGAATAGTCTGTTACGATAATTTCAAAGTAGTAAATAATAAACAACTGATATGATATTTGTAATATGGTACGAACATAATAAAGTACTAATTGTTATTTGTGGAATGTAATGATAGTATGCAATATAAAAAATATTGTATAATAAAAAAGGTAAAACATTTATGAACATTATTTTTGAATATACGTAATTACATAAGAGAAAGCACACTAACAAAGGGCAGGCACGGATGTTGCAATCGCTTTTGCAACGACACCCTATGGGGGTCATAGTACGCATGTAGTACTGCAAAACCATTTTGGCTTTTTTCAGAATGGGTGTTTGTTTTCGATGTACAATAAAAGCATCTAGCAAGGTTCATTGAATACATTGGTAGAGTATTAGGTTGTAACGCTGCTTGACCCCGGGTACGAATCCCAATTGATGTATTTTTTTTTCATTTCAATTTTTTATCAGAAATGTACTTTTTGGATATCGTGTACTATATACTGCATATTATATATTACTTTACGCATATTTTAAGGTTAAAATTAATTTTTTAACGTAACATATCATGCCGGAATACTTACTTGCTGTAGGTGAGTAAGTCTTTACAACGATTTTTATGTTTGGTCGTAAGTTTATTTCGTTTTATCGTGACAGTCACATGAAGGAAGGTTTGAAAGTTTGAAAATGAATAGTGATTCTGTGCGTGCAAGTTGTTCTGAAGAAATAGTCATCGATAGCACAGAATCCAAGCGTAAAGAGGACAGAATGTGTGTAATTGTTTTCTCTTTCTCTGGCGTGTGTATTCTCCGGAATACTACTGTTAGTTGTACATATATACGTTCCATTCGTTCGATTTTACTAGTGTTAAAATGAGAAAGCATGTTATCTTCTATCATTCTCCAAAGTATAAACTGAACCCCCTGTTTTGTCTACGGGTTCCTCCTCGTCAAGCTCGAAAACGGTCAAGCCGAATATACCATACCCGTTTCGAAGTAAGTAACTCGCTGCTGTCGATCGAGTT